CCCCGGCGTCTTACACAAATAACGGAATTTTCACATAAGCAAGTCCTCGAAGCCAGATAACACAGCCAAGAAGGAGGTGGTGAACGGCTGTGCCGGGACCCGTATCGGTGGGTTTTGGCATGCTCACATGCCAGGCTGGAGGATTCCCCAAACCAGTGGAGACATCTGTGTTTCTTATTGACTGCCCCCAGGAGTGGGCTGAATAAAAATTGGGAGTTTAATGAAATTTTAAATATAATTTTTACAGTGTTTTTAATTTCTCATAAAGCAGCAGTTAAAAGACTTTGGAGATTATGGAACTGCTTATTTTATGATCCAAGTGTTGTAAAAACAATTTGCCTCAACCGCTGCTGGAACCAGTTACAGAGATGGGAAATGCTTTTGTAGGAGTGAGAGCAGCCCCTTTGCTTTTTGCTTTTTCAGTCACAATCTGGGTTGTTATATTTGATTCCCACTACCTCTGATGTGCAGGAGATATGGGGAAAAAAAATAAAATATATATATACACCAGCACTAGGAGGTCCAAAAACGAGCAGAGCAGGGAACTGGGTTACAAGGCACGTAGTAATTGCAAAAAGCACATTGCACTGTTAAATCTTGGGTTACAGACGTATTCTGGAAAAGAGCAAGCCCATTTTAAAAAGCACATGCCTATTCTGAAAAAAGCATCACCTCCTCTATTTACAGGTTGATAGAAATATTTGTGTTAGGGGTTGGTTTTTTTTTCCTCTCCGGAGTTGGTGGTTGTTTTGTTTTGTTTTTTTTTTTTCCTCTTTTCAAGTTGGCTCGTTGGGCTGGAGCCAGAACTCACTCCTAAATTGAGACATAATTAGACGTGTCCTACTGTGTCTTTCTGGGCAATTCGTTTAACCTCTACGCCTTATTTCTCTCCAGGTTTAAAAAGGAGGTGAGAGAATCTCTCTTGACTGCATAAAAGAAGAGCTATGTAAAGCCAAGCGACGAGGACAAGAGTTACAACTAATACCTGGCCAGCAACAGAGGTTTTAAAACTGGTTTTTGCCCTTCCCTGGACATCATCGTTGCAAAGCTGCACCAGACAACTGGTAAACCACTAAACACAGCTCAGGAACCAGCTTTTTGCTGGGGTAAAAAAAAAAAAAAGAGAGGACATCCACCTTCTCAGGCAGACCTAGTGCCTTGGGTCTCCTGGAGGGCTTTGTGCAGCTCAAGGCTCCAGCCCCGTGGTCTCACCACGGGGAATAACGCCATAGGGAAAAGCTGACATTTTTCCCAGGTTTCTCTCATCACAGGCAACCTAAAAGGACTTTTTACAACCTTGCAACTCCACTCTTCCTCGCCTCTTACGCACCAAAACCGCTGCTGACGTACATGGGACTATTCATGCCACCAAGACATGCAAGATTTGGCTCTTAATATTTATTTAATTTACTACTTCTCCCCAGTCCCCCGAAAGCTTTCCTTTGGAAGGCCACAAAACCAATAAACTGTGCATTCTGTGCTTCGAACGTGCAAAATAAGCATGTTTCTGGGGAGGATGGGGGGTTTACGGTACAGGCAAGAGGTCCCGTCCCGACCTCGTGCTTCTCCCCAGCACCACCCGGGCTCGCATGTGCCTCAGTCTGATGCAATGGTTCACGTAGCCATTCCCTTTTTACGCTGATGGAGCAGCAACTTATTCATAAATCAGTTAATGTTTTATGAACCCACAAGTCTGGAGAATTAATTTACCAGTGTCTTGTTTTAAGCCTAAGCCATCATCTTTCTCACCTCTACAACTGTTATCTGTTGGGTATATAAACCCATTTTCTTGTAACGTGTATTATATCTGCTCTAATACAGAGCAAATTATCTGCACCACCTTCAAACCATGTTTAATATACACCTAAGCCCTTTCATTAATTTACCTCACCACTCTCTTAACCAGCTTATACCTTTGTTATTCACAAGACAATTAAACAAAAGCCTAATAAATTCCAGGATCGAAACTCTGAAGCCCTGTTCCCACATCACAGAACTTACTGGAAGTGCTTCAAAGAGCTATAAAATCCTATTTTAATATGATAAGTCCCTGACAAAGCTACTAAACTAGGTAAGGCTTGGGGGTCTGGGGAGAGGAAAAGGGCTGGAGACAGAGACATAAAGTCAAATATTTAACTGATATAAGAAGGATGCTGAGATTCGCACCTGTGCTTTCAGGTAAAAGATTAAAATAACAAAAAAAAGACAAACACAATCCTTGCAAATTGAAACATATTTTCTGAATATATCAGTTCACTCTCGGGACCGGCTTCTCCAACAATTAAAATCTCGATGCATCGCTTCTCAAAAAGAGAAGTAAAATCACTCCTGGTGTCAGCAAAGCCACCAGACAAACCTGCAAGTATGAGAGAAAGCGGTTTTGCTGCCGAAAAGGGAAAAAAAAGACTTTGTCTGGGTTTACCATTCCAGGGGCTGACAGTGATGGATAGGAAGGTTACAGCTCCAGCATCCATCTCCATTCCCCTGCCTGCACCGGCATCTCAGGCCGGGGCTGGGGGGAGCGGGTCACCTGCCCCAGTGCTCAGGTCGGCGTCACCTGCTCTCGAATGTCTGAGCGCTCCCGGTTCTGTCTCGCAAAACAATTGGAATTTAAGGAATCGTGCTTTTAAACCTGATATTAAATGTCATCCTTTTTACTTAGCATCAGGGGGGGCTTTTAGGGAGGAGATGCTGCTTAGTGACCCACGTTACCGATGGGGCAGAAAACTGCAGGGTTACAGGTCTGTTTTGTAGCCAAAAGAAAAAGAAGGAAACTATTATTAATGACAAACGCTTCCTATTATTCTCAGCAACATCGCCTGTCCCTCGGTGGACACCGACCAGGGACATAGCTGACACAGGTGCAGGCCTGACACACTGATGGGACACAAATTAGCCAGAATTTAGGGCTGAAGGCGCTTCTGAAAGAAAAATAATGTATTGCTTGCATTACAACATACGATATAGATGCAAATTTTGGATATGATTCATTAAGCAGGGATCCTGCTCCCAGGCTATTCAGCTGGGAGTGCTGGGAATTAGCAAAAGGATGTTAAAAAATTAAAAAATACCACCTGGAAACATCGAAAATCTTACTGGGTGATCTGTCTCAGAAATAAATTTAATCTCACTATTGATGGGTGCAGCTGAACTAAAATACGATCAGCAAAACATTGAGCCAGCAATGTGCGCTGGCAGCCCAGAAAGCCAACTGTGTCCTGGGCTGCATCCAAAGCAGCGTGGGCAGCAGGCTGAGGGAGGGGATTCTGCCCCTCTGCTCTGCTCTCGTGAGACCCCACCTGCAGTGCTGAGTTCAGCTCTGGTGTCCCCAACACAAGGACAACATGGCCCTGTTGGAGCAGGTCCAGAGGAGGCCACGAAGATGATCCGAGGGCTGGAGCACCTCTGCTATGAAGACAGGTTGAGAGAGTTGAGGTTGTTCAGCCAGGAGAAGAGAAGGCTCCAGGGAGCCTTCCATCAGCCTTCTAGTACCTAAACGGGCTACAAGAAAGCTGGAGAGGGACTTTTGACAAGGGTATATAGTGATAGGACAAAGGGTAATGGCTTTAAACTGAATGAGGGGAGATTTAGATTAGATCCAAGGAAGAAATTCTTCCTTCTGAGGGTGGTGAGGCACTGGCACAGGTTGTCCAGAGAAGTTGTGGCTGCCCCATCCCTGGAAGTGTTCAAGGCCAGGCTGGATGGGGCTTTGAGCAACCTGGTGTAGTGGAGGGTGTCTCTGCCCATGGCAGGGGAGTTGGAACTGGATGAACTTTGAGGTCCCTTCCAGCCCAAACCATTCTATGATTCTGTGACAAAAGGTTCAAGAATACCTTTTGACAGTGTAAGCGCGAGATGATGATGAAACCAACACAACTGATTTCACGGAGTTATCAGACACAGGAAAAGCAAACTTACTCCTGTTTAGGCTCCGATACCATTCGCACTGAGGTCAGAGACTATTTTGCTGTGGGTTTAACGGGAGCCACATCAGGCCAAAGAGCATTTCAGAAGATTCTGCAGTTATCAGGTTTATTGTATCCTCAACAAGATGCATCCCAATCTCCGCCTCAACCAAGAAAGCCAAAAGGTGGTTATTTTGGGAAAAAAAAAGGTTCCTCAAAATACTTTATCAAAGATTTCCTAACTCTTTATCAATCCTATCAAGCTCTATGTTTTCCATAGCCATAGTTGCTAATCCATCCTGATATTAATCCCAATAATAAATCCATCCCCTTCACAAGGAATAGAGGTTCCTGTGTAGAAGTGTGTTCATGATGCTGTAGCTTAAGTTATAACAATAGGAAGAAAAAAAGCATTTTGTCAGTTTGTGTTATATTTTCTTAACACCTCTGTTGAGCAGGAGAACAAGAAACTTGAGGGAAACCTCAGGATTTCAGAGCCAATGTAGGTGTAAGCAAGATGAACTGAGACAACTAGGGTTGAGAGCAAAGCCCTGGTGCTGGCACCACGACACTCCACACGCACCTCTGATCAGATGTAGTCATTTTGTCACAAGATATCTCTTTTCCATAACAGTGACTTTCCAAAAAGGGTTCGCTTTGAGAAAAAATTCCCTGCAGCACATAGAGAAGATGAGCAGCTGAGGTCAGGAGAGGACCAGAACTTCTTAAGAACATAAGCCAGTTATTGTTTTCAGAAAGTCATAAATAAATAAGATTTCTGTTAGTCCTCCTCTTGTTTTACCCACTCTAATCCATCCTATTTTTAAAATACTCCATCTCAAAAAGCAGAGATGGTCTGGAAAGCATCACGGCAGCATCAAAGAGAAAAAGGAAGAGTAAAGCTTTGGTCTCTTAGAATTTCCTGGGCTGCTTCTGGCCTGAAGATATTGCCAAGTGTCATCCTGGAGAGCCCCGGCGAGCTCCGCAGGCGTTCACCAATCCCTAACACTTGGCACGACTAAAAGCCCTGCCTTGGGTCCCACCACACGAACGGGCCAAGCGAGATGTGGCAAACGAGACGGTTGTGCATCTTACGTTCACACTCCTCCACATCCAGGTTGAACTGCTGCAAGGCGCCCAGCGTCAGCTGCCGCACTTCGGCTTCCAGCAGCAGCTGCATCAGTGAGGTGGAGAGGTGTTTGCACGCCGACATGCACGCCGTCTGCGCCACCTTCCCCTGCAAGACAAAAGGGAGATGTATTAAGGCCAATGAGCACAAAACATGAAAGGATCTTCTTTAGATCAAGACTTGCCAGTCCAGACTCTTTACCATGTCCCATCTGCTATGGGACTTTCATGTAGTGCTCAATCTCGCAACCACCATCTTTAAAGGGAATTACCATTGCTACCAGCAGAGTTAGACCTTCTCAGGTGCAGAGCGCCTGGGAGCAGCTCAAATCCAGGAAAACCTCGGGATCTTTAGAACTCTGAGCATCTCTCATTATTATATGTCTTAACGTGAGCAAGACAACTTTACCACCTTTTATTCCACATCCTACACAGATCGCCTGAAGTAACCTTGTTGATAGGTCAAAATAGCGTTGATGACAATCTCAAACTCCAGCCTGCAACTAAACCAGTGTCTACGTATATCACAACCAGTGTCTATGTATATTCCAAGACAGGAATTTCAAAATCCCTTTCCAACAGCAGTGGCTCATTGTTCAAGGTTTAGCTTTGGCTACCGGGAAGCAGAGAGCAACAGTGTCTCCATCACATTGATGCTCTTCAGCCCACTTCCAGCACCGTGCAGCACCTTCCAGATGCTGACAGGGACCGAGGAGAAGGAAACACCAAGGCAAGGAGGTGACTGAAGTCAGTGTTTACATGGACAGGATTGCTCCCCAGGGCTGGGTAGTGGGGAATAACCTGAAGCACCCGGATCCATCCTGCACCTGCTTGTACCATGGGTAACGTGGTTGTCAATGTTTGCCTTCTCCTGAGCCATCCCTAAATTGTGGCGATTAAACAGGGGGTCTACGGGGAGGAGGCTGCGGCAGAGGCTGCCGTGCAGAGAGAAACTACTTAAATTCCTTGAAATGTTCATATCTATAATGAAGGTATGAAAAGTTATGAGTTTCAGTTACTAAGGAAACTGGAACATCATCGGTAAATATTTATTTTTAACACATTTTCACTGAGCCACCGTGGTTACGTTTCACTTTTGAGGAACAACTGAGATCTTGAGCTATAAATCACGTGAACAGTTCCTAGCAAGAGGAGCTACCCTAGATAAGCTCTCCATCTTCTGATGGAGAAACAATTGCAAGGCAGAAGAGTAATCACGACAGACAATTTAATTCACAAGCTTACGTTTTTGAACTGCTGAATTTGAAATGGCTGATTTTCAAATTACGGGTGAAGCTCCTGCATCGACAGAATTGAGCTGTCAGGTAGGAAGCCCAGGATGCCTCTGAGGACTTAGGATGTTCAAAGACGAGCGGTATTAAGGAAAGGGATGGGGTAGGGATGGGCTGTGGAACAGGAGAAAGGGAGGTGGGTGCTCAGAAAGCTCCATGTCCTGTGAAAGGCCATAAGCTCACCTAGCTTGAGCACCTACACCCTGGTGGAGCACCAGCTACGAGGAGAGCCACTGTCAGAAGAGAAGGAAGCCGATGAGCACAGACATGAAGAGCTGAGATCCTCCAGAAAACTCCAGATTCCGGATCCTTTTGAGATGCCATGAGACGACAGAGGAAGAGAAGACCTTTCCAAGAACAACACAGATGCTCTGCCTCGTACAAGCCTGGTCCTCCCGAGGACCAGGTTCAGGAACAGGCAGGGAGCACACTCTGCATTTAGCCAAGTGCTTCAGAAGATCCAATCTGACTGACCAGAAGCATAAAAGGAAAAACCCAAAGCATCCATAAGGCCATGAAACAAACACAGACCATCGCGCACACACAATGCTCAGAAAGCTCAAGTTTCTTTTATTCTTATTGAAGTTATTTTGCACCAGAGCAGCATTTCACAGGTTGTAGGTACCACGTTCTCAGTGAACTAAAACCATGCATCATTTAGGGGAATTTAACATGCAGGAGCATTTTTTTTTCAACTTATCTAAATTCCTCTCTCATCTCCAAATGCTCAAAAGATCTCCTTGTTCCTCAAGCATTGCTGTGTGCCATCCAAAACCTGTGGCAGGTAAGATTTGGGTAGACAAGATTTGGCAGATGAGATTTGCACGGGTCTGTGACATATATCAAACCCATAAAAACGGGGAAATCTTTTGGCACAAGAGCACACACTTGCACAAACCCATCGTCCGACACCGCACGGAGCAATCCCCGTGTCTGCACGTCTAACTCCACGATAATATTTCTGGATACTGGTCCTAGCCCAAAACCAGCTTCA